ATTTTCTACTAATAATATCATCACCATTCCAAAAAGATTTTCTAATAATAACTTGTACCATTCTAAAGTCGTCATCATATAATTTCTTACTTATTTTTTATTCCTTTTGCACTTACATGGAATCACATCTCTTCTAACATGTTTAGCCTTTGGTTTCAACATGATAAGTCATTGGAATAATATGATTGGAATAACATGTTTTTATTATGATAAGCCTTATTTTTATTTATTTATTATAGAAGCATTTCAAATGTCTATCTTTATAATTTCAAATAAGCAATAAGTTTATGATACCAAATTAAAAATATTTACGGTACAAGCTAAAAAATGTGAAAAAGTTTGATTAGTAAAGTAAGAGGTTTGCTAACTGCAGTAGAAAATTTTGAGTTATTGGAGAAAACTAAAGAGGTGTCTTATTTCAATTGAGCTTTTACTAGTCTCTTAAGAGGATTATGTTGGGTGAAATTTATTTATTATAATTGTATTGTGTACTTTTTTTTATGTTGGGTGAAATTTTTTATTATAATTGTGTTGTGTAATTTCACATTGATTAAATATGCTAAGGAGAATAGATATGCTAAGGAGAAAGGGAAAATGGAAAATTTCTAGATGAGAGAGTAAGGGGCTTTAAAAAAAGAGCTTTAAAATAAATACACATGAGAATAAGGGGTTTAAAGAGAAAGGGAGCACCTTATGCAAACCAAGTATTAGGGTTTAAGAGAGAGAAGACGAGTTTAGAGAGAGAAGGAGCACCTAGGCAAATCGAGCAGGCTTATTGGGATTTATTAATCTAGGGCAGAGAGACGCACGGGGAAGATTTCTAAAGATTACCTGTCAAGCACGTAATAGATTTTTCACCTTTCACCACGTAATGTGTTTCATTATTTTGGAAGATACTAGAGTGAGCCCACTAGCTCATAGGAAAACATGAGCTCAATGATCTAGATTAAATTTGAGCCGATCTGACGATCACAAATGTTCGATAGTATTTGAATTCTTTTTTTTTTCTACAAATCCAAATCATTTGAAATTTGGAACGTGTGTACATAAAAAATAGGTGAATCTTTAAAAAATATCAACAACATATTTTACATGAAATAAATTAACCAAAATACCCCCAAAAATTTTTGGGGTATTTTGGTCAATTTGTTTTTCATGAATTATTATTTTTTACATTTTTATTAGGTGGGGTTTGATGAGAAGAACACATGCCTAAATTTTCAAGTGATTTGGATTTGTAGAACAACAATTAAAAATCAAATACTACTATTGGGCTCATTTTTTCCTGTGAGCTAGTGGGCTCCCCCAAGCTTTTTGCGCGTAATGTGTTTCATGATTTTGGAGAAATCTCGGATAATTGTTTTTTATTTCTTTACTATAAAGTATATCTAAACGGTAGAAATGTTATATTTCTTCGTAATCTATTGTCATGTAATAGATTGCCAAGTACCCAAACGGCCCCTAAAACATATCCAACAAAAATAAACAAAAAATAATAATAAACAATACATATTCTCTCTCTTCCTCTCTCTCGATATGATGGGAGAGGTTGCTCACACCTCTCTCACCCATTTTCTCTCACGCCTCACAATTAATATCTTATTATATATCATATCATGTAGTTTCCACCCAATCAATTACTCAACCATTTTCTCTTGCATATCATGTAGTTTCCACCCAATCAACTACTCAACCATTTTCCCTCACATCTCGCAATTAATATCTTATTATATATCAGGTAATTTCTTCCCAGTAAAGTATAAGATATTTATTTAGATTTTAATTGATAGTATCTCTATAAATTTGGCTTTCCTTGTAGCTCTATCTATCCACATCTCTATATATGTCTTCCTCCCTCCCTCCCTCCCTCCCCACACATTTTCACATCTCTGTACACGCTTTCTTACTCCACGTCCCCTATTTTTAAACTTTCATAAAAATCTATCTACATGATTTTAAAAAAAAATTGGATTTCTTTTAAAATTTCATGCATGACAAAATAGTTTTGTACTCTCTGTCTCTATCTCTTCTAAGAATATAGGTACACATAATTTGTCAAAAAAAAAAAAAAAATGCATAAATTTTGTAAAATGATTTTCTCCCTCCCTCCCTCTGTAAATATGGGGAATGAAAATGGAAGCCTGTCTATCTCCATGATTTTCTCCCTATCACTCTCTCTTAATTTCCTCTGTATATTTTCTTTTTCCAATCAATATCCTCTCCAAGTCTATCTCTTCCTTAAAAATACGTCTCTCTCCCTCAACTCCTAGAGATGGGAGTGTAGCCTAATAATAAGTCAACTACCTTATAACCTCTATAGTATTAGGGTCCATTTTTATTCTTGCGACATGTTTCCACCATTTAGTTCTTGCTAATAATGTAGTATTGATAACCACGATTCATGAGACAAATTCATTTTACCGGACAATATGTCATATAACAATGACAAAAACTTAAAGTGATCAATATGGGTATATTAAATTAGGAAAACGTTTATATAAGGTTTCAACCTTAAAATGTAGAACTACGGATGCACCACAAAATCCATTGAAAGAGGTTGTTTTAATGTTGAAAAGCCCTCTGATTGATCAGCTCGACATCGAGATGTATGACTATGAAAAATAAATAGATTTTGAGTCTCATAAATGGTGCATCTTACAACATATTATCTAGACCGTCTATTTTCAATATTTTCATATGTTTATAGATCTATTTGATTTTAACTATTTTTGGAGTTTAGAATTTCATAATTAGATATACTAATAGACTTTGATATAATCCTAAAAATATTTTATATCAAAATTATATATTATAATAAAATTTGAAGGTGCACCTTAATTGGATTGTTTAAGGTTGCATCCTTATGGAAACCACACCCATTAAATTAATCTCTTAAAATTGTGCTATTGTATATTAATTTAAAAAAATGATTTGATAGGGCTGCACCTCATGACACATCGAAAATTAAACTTGGCCATTGGATGTGAAATTAACACATTAAACCTTCAATAGCTCTAAGAGAGCACCTAGTGAAGCCTCCTATCTCTTCCCACTATTTTAAGAATTGAATAGGTTGCCTGCATCTAAAGAATTTAGTTTCCCACACAAAATAGAACTCCTATTTTGGCCCAAACTAAATCACATGATTTTCTACTTCTTAAAGAGTCATATCCCCTAGTAATAGAAAACACAACGCAGTTAGGATATACAGCTTCACCATTTTAACAAAGTCTCCTAGAACTTCTAGAAAGGAAGCCTACAGCCCTTGAACTCCAGATATAGTAAAGCACATTATCTAAAAACAAGTTTTTCAGAACTATCACAATATTTAAAATTCCATTGCAGACAGAGAATAGCTAGTTCTCAAGAAGAATGGAAAATAACCTTAAAATTTTATCAAAAGAAGAGGAGATATGGTACAATATGCAAAAGTTAAGATGTGCATGGTTCATCATTTTTTATGGAAGTTTGGTCTTCTAAAAAATGAGTCTTGTTTTATGTTAAAAAATGCTGTGTGGAAGACCTCACTTCTACATAGTCGCTTCTATGTAACAAAATTAAACATGGAAGTGGGATGTTGAATTCCCACTTTCAAAAAACTCCCTGAAATAAAACATGCCACAAGAGCATGTTCAATATCAAGGAGTTTTTGAAAGTGGAGTTGAACGTCCCACTTCCGTATTTGATATCGCTATGTGGAAGGTTGCGTGGAAGCGGGGCCTTCCACACAACAATTTTTAACCTCAAAAAGGCCATTTTTGGATCACCTCCCTTCCATCAAAAATGATGGAAGTGCGATCTTCCATAGTTTGTTGGAGAATCCCTCCCGCTCCCAAAATCTTTGAGCGTCCATCACACCCTAAAAGTTCTCTAAAATTTAGATAGGATTTGGTTCAAAGGTGGGTTAGATAGTAGGTGGTCCAAGCATGGCTTTTGTGTTTTTGAAAATTAACATGGCTGCAATTACCAAAGCAGCATGTATGAAGTGAGCTCTCTATCTCTCTCTTTGATCAAAGCAACAAAATGAGGTTATCGGAAGAAAAAGTGTATAATAAGCCATTCAGTTTTTAGTACAAGGAGGTATCAAACTACATGTAAATTGGGTGGCTGAAGTTGTCCAGTATCTGGGGTCAAAAGCCTCAAGAAAACTTTTTAAGCTTTGTGACACTCCAAGCTATCGGATTTCAGATTTGATGGCTATAAGTGATTGTGATAGCTTTGTACCAAAAAAGAAAAAAATTTAAGCTTTGTGTCACTCCAAACTGTCGGATTTCAGATTTTTAAATGGTTAATAGTTTTTTAATGTGTTAGGTGGAAATAGAAGCCTAAACCTTAGCTGTGATACAAATAGTGCTACCACCAAAACCCCAATATCAAGTAGTAAATTAGTGAGGATTTGGCACCTAGCGTTTGATGAGAATAGCTCCTCAAGAAGCTCGACAATACTATTGCATAACTCTGCATTTCTCCTCTCGTCTCACGAATTTTCACATAAGACCATCGCAGTTGGTACCACCAGCAAAATCCATGAATGAGATGTTGACACGTGTCACATCACTCGTGTAACTTGAGGCTTTCTTCAACAACCAGAAATGCTTCCTTTTTCAAACCAATCCAATAAAAAACCATCCATAAATCACCAACCCATCGAAAAAAGGCATCGCATTAATTCAAAAAGGAAAAATAAAATGTGGTCCAAATAAACACTTGGAACAGACAGTTTGGTCATGCGGCCTATCGCCATCCAATCAATGCGGGACGAGTAATAGAGAGGAAATGAGACCGACCACAACATGAGAACACCCAGATTTTGGTTCCATCACCCTCTCCATCACCTCCAATAAATAACTTGAATGGTGATGACCCTCATGACCACATTTGTCACATAGTCATGAGATTAAAATACAGATAAACAACCAAAAAAAAGCATAGAAAATTAAGTATATTAGGAGCCTAACTAAAACCAAGGTAGCCAAAATTTATTTTTCACACCAGTAGATGGAAGAGGGATCAAAAACCAGCAATGGGTTTTGCAGAGTGGGGAGATCGAAACCAGTCATGGCCATGGTCATGGTTGCTTTCTCAAGTGCAGGAATGGTTCTCATGTCTCAGTTTGCCCTCAACCATGGCATGAACAATTTCGTCTTGGTCACTTACAGGCACGCCTTCGCAACCCTAGTCCTATTTCCCACCGCCTTCATTCTCGAGAGGTATGCCCTCAATCGTCATGGCCGTCGTCCGTTTAAGGTCCTTTAAAACCTTAATAAGCCATTATTGCACTAATCCTCAAATATACAGTCCTAACCAAAGGGAATCCATTAATATCATTATGATCGTCATCACCATCATCTTCATTTAGTGTTTGCATGTATGCAGGAAGGATGATAGACCGAAGCTTACCATGGCGATCTTCTGCTATCTTTTCTTGAGTGCGCTTCTCGGGCATGTATTACCATCCACATAAGTGAATTGTCATTTTAAGTTATGTGTTTTTGTATGTTTTGAAATTATAGTGATTGAACTGGTATGAATTTTGGGATTTGGATTGAACAGAATAACAATGGGTCTAAACCTTTACTACCTGGGCATGAACCGGACCTCAGCAACCTTCGCTTGTTCCTTCAACAACCTTGTTCCTGCACTTACCTTCTTCATGGCCTCGGTATTTAGGCAAGTAATACCATGTTGGGCTTGTACGTGATAGAGAGAGAAAGAAAGAGAGATCACAATTGACATTTATTTTGTATAATCGCCTGTGGGTGTTTGTGTGTATGTGTTGTATATGTGTGTGAGAGAGAGATGTTTTTTTTAAGTGGGGAGAGGGGGAGATATTGTCATCGTCAAAGCATTTTTTCAATTATTTGGGGTCAACTAGATAAATCATCGTCTGTCATTCTACTCTATCAAGGGTCATGCCCTCAATGAGGTTATAAATGCTCATATTTTTTCTCAAAATTTCCAACCATGTTCTTTTGGGCTTATCCCTTTATGTGTTTGGGCCTTCAACTTGAATCAACCCACATATCCGTATTCTAATGAGTCTGTGTTGCACATGCCCAACCCAACTAAATTTACATTCTCTGATCTTATCACCTATTAAAATTTAGAACCATACGAGGGGGAGAAATATGCTTAGAAAAATGTCATCTCACAAATAAGTGTTCATATGTGTATGTATATGTGTGAGAGAGAGCTTGAGAGTGAGGGAGAGAACAATTAATAATGGAAGGATTGATGGTTGGGTTTCAGAGTCGAAAGGGTCCGAATCAATGGGGCTGAGCACAGGGCAAAGATTGCAGGTACTGCAATATGCATCGCAGGAGCCATGATCCTAACATTATACAAAGGCTGCAGAGTCAAGCTGTGGGTTACCCATGATACCAGCAACAATTCCAAGGATTTGATGAAGGCCTCAAGGGATTCTTTAGATTGGACCATTGGAGGGATTATGCTTATGGCAAGCAGCCTCTGCTGGTCCGCTTGGTACATAATTCAGGTATCTTAATCAAAAATCAAACTCTCTCTCTGTCTCACCCCTTCCTTGATTATTCATCCGTTACAGGCCAGAATCAGTGAGAAATATCCAGCGAGCTTCTCTACGACCGCATGGACTTGTTTCTTGGGTGCCTTGCAATCCGCGGCTGTAACCCTGATCTTCGACCATGATTTCTCAGCTTGGAAGCTTGGGTTGGACATGAATCTCCTTACCGTAATCTACTCTGTAAGTTTATTCTTCTCTAAATAAAACTTCATAAGAATGACTCACAAATAGGTTGGCTTAGCTAGAAATTACTGCATACTCTTTGTTATCATCCTAAGTTTAGCTTTATTTCAACTATTAAATCATGTTCCTCCATTTACTTTATCAAGAGCCATACCTTGAGACTCCAGTACCCAAAAAAAAATCTTTTACAAAACTTAGCTCCAGTAAAAGACCATCTTTTGGGGATAGTTGTTTATACATGTTATATCAAAGTCACAACACTTGCATTACTTCATAAAGATAAATACTTACTTTTAACCTTTTTTGTTGAAATATTACAAAAAAAATACTTATGAAGCACTAAAATCCCACATTTGCCTTATTTAAAATATTGTAGGGATGTGTAATTTTTGATAGACCAATTTTGATAGTGGCGCTTTGAAAGGCCACACGACCATTCATCCACTAATGGACTAGCCATAGGTTCTCATGACTAGAGATTTCCTTGTCTATATATTTGAGTATGCTTTCACA